TTATCGGGGAACCTCGAGAATGTCCCAGTGTTTGTTAGACACCCTCTTTTTAGTATATAAGCCAGCGAACAGTAAGCACCATAAGTAAAGTGTGTGAATCACTGTGATTTATAGCGTGTGTTATAAAGGTTTTTAAGTTTAAAGTGACTGTGGAATGACTGTGTACTAAAAGCTTGTAACGAGAAAGAATAAACTAGTTTTAATCAAGAAGGGACTTGTATCACCGAAGTCACTCGGAAAGAATTTATACCAGAAATTATCAAACAAGCAGATACGTAACAATATGTAAATGAATTATTTTGTCAAGCTATGTTGATATCATAAAGTCAAACTAGTGAAAGTGTAAGTTTTAATTAATGCATGATATTTCATGATATCGTCCTTTTTAGGACATATAAATGGTTCGAAAATGTAAATAACTAATGATTTAGTTTTTTATACAGATTATATTAAACATAGTCATGTTGAGACATTAAACAGTAAGTTTTAATTATTTCATAATATCGTCCTTTCAGGATGATTTACATGATTAGGAAATGTATGGAACTAATAAGTTAGCGTTTGTTAGGAAAATTAATTAACTAATTAAATAATGATTTTAAATGATTGTATTAAATATAATCATGTTGATCAAATTTATGCTGTTTCCGTGGAACTATGACGTCATGGCGGCTCAGAAACACGTTCTCTACCTAGTGAAACTATTACGTAATTCGTCGCCTGTCATGGCGGCCTAGCATAGCGCCCCTAACAACCAGCCCTCTGGTGACGATGTGTGAAACTACGATGTCATCATATTTTATTATATCATCCTCCCATCCCGAGTACGACACATGTGTGGCGCCCTCTAACGGCGTGAGGTACAAGAGCAGCCCTAACTACTGACTTACAACGCAAAATCGGAAATTAGATTCCCCGTGTGGGACAGAGTGCAGATAGCCCGTTATTTAGCTTTTCGCTAAAACGAAGCAAACAAAAATCGTAAAAGTAAATCAATGGATGCATTTTTGCTATATATCTAAACCAATGGTAAATGAACGAGATTTGTAGGCCCAGAATATTCAA